TCAGGTAATAGTAAGTCATTGGGACAATAGTCTCATAGCAAAATTATCCACTAACTTCACACTTAATGGCATAGTTAGATACTAAAGACCAGGCCTTTCTGTGAGAGTTGGATGGGTAGTGTGCCCCCCCCACCCCCACTGCCCACAGCCCTCCAAAGAGCCCTCATGTAACTGGCTGCAGGGAGCTCCACACTGTACCTTAACCGTCACCATAGCAACCCCATCTCTCCATCTTCCCATTAAGCAGCTGCTAAGACAAAGCCTTGTGCATAAGTGAGGCCCAGCTACCTGGGCCCAGCAGCAGAGGCTGCAGCTTGAATGACTCCTCCACCCAACCTGGCAACATAAACAGCTGGTGGTCCTGGGTCTCACACCCTCTCACAATACTCACCCTCCTCCCCTCCCCTCAGCTCCCTATTTAATGGGCAACAGAGAGACTTTTTACTACTGTTGTAAATGTAAAATGTCCAGATAAATGAGTAGTATTGGCCTAATACAAAGCTCCTTTATCTACCCAATAATTAACATGTTAGTCCTTACTGAACACAGAAATTCCTAAAGGTTATTCCTGTATCCTTGTCCCATATTTCATCTACCGCTTCCTACTACCACTGGGTTTATTTTATTTTATTTTTAATTTAAATTGACCCTAAATTCTTTCCTCAAGATCTAAGCATCATTTTTCCATTTTCTAAATAAACCACCTTCTATGGTTATTTTGAACACAGAAAACAAAACTCTCAACTCATCATTTATCCACTGACTTGATTAAGATAGTGGCAAATGAAGAGATTTCTATAGAAGCCCTAGAGGTAAAATGAGACTCATCTCCCTCCCCACTAAAAAAAGCATAGTACAATTTTAGGGCATTAAAACTACACACTAGTAACATCTACTTACTCACTTCAACTATGAGCTTGACAAAAGAAATACAACAGGACACAGATCTTGGTATTCAACCAAGTGGAATTACTATTACTTTCAGATCATTTTATTCTTTATAATACTTTAAATACTTATCCAAATACAGAACAAAACCAAATCTACTTCCGCCAAGTCAACTCCAACCCATGTAGTGTTTCCAAAGCTATAATCTTTATGGAAACACAGAGGGGGGTTTGAAATGCTGACTTGCAGTTAGCAGTTCAAGGCTTACTCTACACTGCCACCAAAGCTACCTAAATACCCGTTCCCATCTCCATCCTTTGGGTTAGCTGACCATATTAACTAACTTTTTGTACCATGTAGGGACTCTTACTTAAGCAATTCCCAGGTACTATTGAATAACTTTTGGCATAATGCCAGTCTCTCAAATTCTAACTAAAAGAATTACATATTTCATACTAGAATAGAATTAGAATTACAATATCGTTAACTTATCAGTAGTGTAATCAACTTAATGAATGGTATTATAGTTGAGACTAGCATACAATCGATAAATCTGCAAAACTAGCTTTTACCAGTACCATCTCCCAATTGCCCATTTACTATGACCTAAGACTACTAAGAAAAGCTCCAGCTTCTACCGCTAATAAAAATGAAACGTTACTGGAACAAACGGTCAAGCGTGGAGAATTCTTCCACATTTCTGTTTCTCCTTCTTTTATCAAGACTGTCCTCTCTTTTTCCTAGACACTGAGAACATCTTTTTTTGGGGTGGGGGGTGGTGGAGGGGGATAAACACTATAGTCTTTGAAACAGATTTTTACTTTTCCAGGTAGCAGTCCAATTAATTTCAACTAGATAGGGAAAGAACAAAATCAAGTAAATTTTGGATATATGTATTACACTTTTTAAGAAATCCAAGTTGCATGGTCACCCAGCATCAGTCAAGTGTAGCAAGTCGATCAGCACCATTTCCCCCAACAGTATGCATTCACTTTTAGACTGTCAAACTTTTTCATAAAGCCACTGCATACCTTAACAGAATACAGTGTAAACATTTTATATGCACAAAATTTTTGTTGTGTGCTGTACTGTGCAGTGATATGAAAGTGAACCTGCAATATCTCTGCAACATGCCTACATTGGTTGGTATATAGCAATAAACTTATAAAAGTTATGCTCTAACCAAGTGGTCCAAAATACTCTAATATATTTAAAAAATGATATGATAGCAAATTTTCCAAATAAAGGCTACATTAAAAAATAAATATTGTTCTAATGGACCAATTCGGTAAACTCTAAATTCTCAAAGGCAGAAAATTGATCCTGAAAAATGACTACTTAACAAAAGCAAAAAACCCCAAACAACCTTCTCTTTAGCAACATGAAATTATGAATGTTATGAACCAGTCCCCTTAAGTATTTTAAAAAAATATAACAATTTGTGGAAATTGGCTAAGGAAGTCAGTTAAAAAACTAATTGAATTTTCTGACAACAAACAGTGTAGCTGTTATCAGATGCAGTAATAAAGTTTCCACTACTTGACAGCAGATTGGAAATCTAGGTGACCATGTTAGAGACAGGCAGCAGAATCCTGAACATTATTTCATCTAATTTTGTAGTAATGTAAAATCTTACACCTTTTTTGGGGGGGTATACGGGGTGGTGGTGGTTAGAAATAAAAAAATCTGTTAAAGTAACTACATATTCAACTTCATTATACTGAACATGTATGTTGGACCCTTAATGGCTGGGAAAGAGCTGTATTTAACACTAGATTTAATTAAAATTCTTGCAGAAATTGAGCATTTCATGGGACAATACGATTCTCACAGTTATTCCTTAATGATAATTTTCAAATTAATTATAGAGCTGATAAAGTAATGTAATCAATATTCTTCAGGAAAGAGGTGAGCAGAAAGATTTAAAAATTCAAACAATATACATGTGAATAGAGGCCCAAAGCCCATTTGTAGACAACTGAACACCCACTCATAGAAGGATCACAAGGCAGGGGAAGAGCCAGCCAGGGTACAGTAGAGCACTACTGAACATACAACATTCTCTAGTTCCTTAATGCTTCTTTACCCCGACTATCACGACCCCAGTTCTACCCTACACATCCAGCTACACCAGAGCATGTACACTGGCACAGGGAAGAGCTCTCAACACACCCCTCAGGTACAAAAATAGGAGTTGCCATACCATAAGGGTAGGGGGAAAGTTGGGGGGGGGGAAGGGGAAACCAATCGCTATGATAGACGAGACGTATTACACGCCCCTCTCACCATCCCACCCCCCACCGCCAAGGGGACAAACAACAGAAATGTGCATGAAGGGAAACAGTGGACGGTATAAGATATGAAAATAATTATAATTTATCAAGGGTTCACGAAGATGGGAGGGGAAAGGAGGGAGAGGAAAAAAGAGGCACTCACACCAAGGGCTGAAGTAGAAAGAAAATGTTTTGAAAATGATGATGGCAACATATGTACAAATATGCTTGATAAAATTGATATATGAATTGCTGTAAGAGCAGTAAGAGCCCCCATAAAATGATTTATACAAAAAAGTACACATTTGAATATAACATTTTGAAGGTTACAAAACACCTTTAACATAAATAAATGTATAAACAAGTAAACAAAAATACATACATAACAGCCTACCTGTAACCTATTTGGTTTGTACAAATCAAAATGTAAGTCTAAAATCATAATCATTAGAATTCTACACTTAACTCGAAGAATTATAAAAATTTCTGACTCTCAAGTCATAGCAAGCATATTTTCCGGTTCCGTTGAAATACCCAGTCTTTTAAAAATGGGTGATTAACTAGAAATGATTACCATCAGACGAGAAGGTATACACTAATTTAATGCAACATACCGGTACTAATATGAATTTCTGGCACTAAAAAGTCCCATAAAACAAATAAACATAGCAAAGCTGATGAGAATTCTTTGTACAAATAACTTTTCTTCGTTCCCACAAAGATCACCCCTGTCCCCTTTTTTTAAGAAAAAAAAAAATCATTTTATTGGGGGCTCTTACAGCTCTTTTAACAATCCACACATCCATTTTATCAGGCACATTTGTACATATGTTGCCAACTTTTTGAATAGCAACCCGGAACGTTTGGGTTATTCTTTAAACCTGTAAATCCGATCATGAATTTAACCCTGAATCTTTAAAAGGCATCATTCGGCTTGATGAATTCGTTAGTTTCCACACTGTTGATATTTTAAATTTTGAACACTGGGAAAATTCTACATCAAGGAAGAAGCGATCTAGCCCCTTCAGAAAAAAACAAAACCCAACACCCCAAATAAAGCAAGACCACCTCCCTCAGCGGTTAACTTTCCTCCCTTCCCGGTCAGCTATTATGTTCGAAGCATCCCAAGCGGTGCAGTAGTTGAGCGTAACCGAAAGGTTCGAATCCATAGCTGTCCACGGGAGAAAGGTGGGCGAGTTTTCCCATAAAGGAAGGGGCAGTTCTACTTTGTCCTCCAGGCTCGCTGACTCCACGACCATGGGTTTGGGGGGATTCACCTCTGCTTTGGGTTTCTTCCATCACCCGTTACTCCAGAGCAAGACTAACCCTCAACAAGATTATCTGAGCGCGTCTCCGGGAGACGCCAAAGTGGCGTTTGGAGTTAGGCCCGGGGCCAGTAAGGGTCCCTCAATTTCCAGCTCCTCCGTCCAGCATTTCGCTTTCGCTCAGTCCGAGAGTAAAGAAGGACCCGAACTGTTGGAGCCGACGGAGCAGAGCCGGGGCCTAGACGATTCGCCCAGGGTCAGAGGGGGTGGGAGGCACCCAGAGTTCGGCCCCTGGGGCGAGGGGTGTCGGCCTAAACGGGGAGTACACTCGGACGTGGAGCGCAACGCCCAGGACCACCGACGCTGCCTCCTCCACCCTCCCCTCCCCCAGGCTGGGGAAGCAGGGTCCGGGCCCGGTGCGCGAAGCGGGAGGAGGTAAACCAGTCCTGTCACCGCACCGGGAGAGGCTGGGAGAAGCACACGCTCCACGGAGAGAGGCCGCAGCGGCCCCCTGCCCTGACCCCAAAAGTCAGGCGCCGCCTCCCGCCCCAAGGTTCCGCTCCCTGCGCCTCACCAGGTCGTAGTCCTCCTCATCATCGCACATGAAATCATCCTCCATGTCAGACATCTTGGCCGGGCGGAGAGGAGGGGGGAGGAGAAATTGGAGACAACCCCTTCCCACAATCCTCTGCGGCGCACAGGCGTCCCTCCCAGCTTCTCGCTTTCCCGTCGCTCTGATTAGCGCGCTGACGGTGGCCCCCGGAACGAATGTGCTCCACTCAGAGCGGAACCAGGACGGCTCCAAATAGGGAGCGCACCACCTGCTCTTCCTGAGAGACCGTTGGTGCCTTAGCAACCAGCCTAGCAACCGCAGAATCCTCCGGGGCCCCGGGACGAGGCGGGCTCCGCGCGGTGGTAGCAAAGGGCCTCGGAAACCTCGCCCTGCGCGAGGTCAGTGTCCAGCCTCCCCGGCTCGGGAACGGTGTTCTCCCACCCCTGGGACCTTGGAGCCGTCGGCTTCTGGGGGAACTGAGGGACGACCCAAGGCTAGAAGCATTTCTCCGGGGAAAGGCTGAGATGCCCGTATTATATGACAGGTAGTCGTCTTCCTGCTATCATTATGTAAGTGCAGTCAACACGCACCTGGAGATAGGTGCACCTGTACTGTTTGGGCAACACATTTTGCACGCAATGTTTGTTATACTGGTAATTAGTAAAACGATTCTGTGACCATTATTTAGGAAGTAGGTTAAGCATCCCTCATAGGAGGCCCCACAAGTCTTACTCCGTTTTTTCACCTAGTTACAAGGTAACTTTTACTCGCCGTCTGGTCAAAGTTGACAGGTTTTTATTTTTAATGCAGTAAGCACAAAATCGCTAGCAAAAGTTGAAATTAAAAAAATAAAAAGAAATTAAAGCAACAAAACCTGACTTTCAGATAGCACTTTCTGTGTAAACTGCATACACTGTATAAACTTATAGCTCTCTACACAAGAATCCATAAATAGTTAATGTATAAGCAATTTTGAATTCTTTTTTTTTTGTACCTAGTTATATAGTAGGAGCCCTGGTGGTATAATTGTTACATGTTGGGCTGCGATCCCCATGGTTGGCAGCTCCACAGGAGAAAGACTGGGCTTTTTACTCCTGTAAACAGTTATAGTCTGGGAAACCCACAGAGGGATGCTATGAGTCAGCATTGATGACTGTGAGCTGGGTTTGAATTTATGTAGTTGTATAAACCAAAACCCAACTCACTGCCATTGAATGGATTCCACCAGCTCATAACTGGTTTCTGAGACTGTACCTCTTTACAGAAGTAAAAAGCCCAGATTCTCGCCTGAGGAGTTAGCAGCTCAAACGGAGCAGCAGAATCGAATGATGATTTTAATGACAATTAAATTAAATTAATCCTTCCCTTGAGTATAATAACCATTGCACCCAAAATTACTCAAGCCATTATTGCTATATATTTAGGATGTTGTGAAAATAAGACTATTTTAAACAATTCTACAGCTTAAATAAAATAGTCACTTTAATTTTTGCTCAGGAAAAATTTCCAAGAGGTACCGACTAGATTTTCTAGTAGTCCTTTTACTTGTTATTTTTTTGGTCATAGTTCTTTTTTTAATCGTTTTATTAGGGGCTCATACAACTCTTATCACAATCCATGGTCATAGTTCTTAAAAGCCATTGAATAGCAATCTTGCTATCTTATCTATAAACGCAAATATTTTTCCTAATTTTCTTTCTCTCTTGGTATTAAGAAAAATTTCAAAATGTACAGAAAAATGAAAAAAATAATACACAAACACTTATATACCCACAACCTGCTTTATTATGTATATGCACCTAATAAAGCAGTTCGGGGGTATACAAGTTTATATATTTAGATATACATAAATATATATTCCATATATGTCATATGTAGTATCCCTGAATCAGTTTAAAGTAAAACACCCCTTCCACATGAATTCATCTACATGTATCTCCTAAAAATAAGGACACCCTCCTGTGTAATTACAATATCATTATTAATGAATAATTTATTAATATCAATACCATTCCATATTAAAAACTCATTTATTGCATATAGAACTTTAAAATCGGAATAGTCTTCAATGATCTCTTTAAATGCCAAGATTTCTTTAAATCCCACACATGGTAATCCACTAGATTTTAATTTCCCAAAGCCCACATCAAAGATTCCAATTCAAATCATAATATATTTATATATGTATACTTAAATATATATATATTTCTCTTTCTTCTTTTGTGTTTCGTCTTTTTCTTTTTCTTTCCTCCTGCCCCACCATCATGTTTACCCATTGTTCACCTCTCAGATACAATTCTATTGATGAGACACGACCAGAAAAGCCATATCCTTCTTGCCACCCAGTTTAGAACCCTTCCTATTCCCCTTTACCGGTCTTTATTGTCTCACCGCTCTCCTCCCTGCCACTACCTCCTCTCCCATGCCCCCAGGCACCATTGCTCCTTTTGCTGTCTCTGTAGTATTTCCTATCTTGTATAGATAAACACACATAAAGAACACACTAATAGTCACAATTCTATCAGGGATCCTCACGCAGGGCAGATGACTATCTCTCTGGAAATTAGCAAGAAGGACATGTTATAATCCATTTGTCCAGTCCCCTTTGCTTTCAGTGTTCCATATCCCGGGTCCCACTTACCTAACAACACATACACCCCTTTGGTCTTCAGCATTCGTGTCCAAATGGCACACATCCTAAAAGTCCCCATTGCTAATCCTGCAGACAGGGATGGAGCTGTCTAGGCATCTAGGCACCCTCCTACCCACTTTCACCTTTAGATGGTCACTGTGGTTCTCTTGTGCATAACCCCAGCAAGATCAGATGGGATGCCAAGTGCTGCCCTCCCCCCCCACCCGCCCCGGAGTCAAAAGTCTACAATTGGGATTCCTCAGGGACTTTAAATATAGGTATGTGTTTATATATTTATATAAATGCAAATGCAACAAGGAAGCAGATGGACTTGGGCCTCTAAGCTTACCTCAGTACAAAAATGGTTTGTTCCAATAACGTGGCATTTTATGATATCACCTTCCTGACACAATCACTGAAGACAAAATGGGTGCTGAATGTAGCAAATGTGGTGAAGAAAGCTGATGGTGCCCTGCTATTAAAAGATGTAGTGTCTGAGGCTTTAAAGGCTTGTAGTCAAACAAGCGGCCATTTAGCAGGGAAGCAACAAAGCCCACAAGGAAGAAGCACATCAACCTGTGTGATCATGAGGTATAGATGGGAAAAGGTATCAGAAGTTCACAAATAAGCCACCAAATCAATGTGAAGGGGTGGAGATGTAGTGGAGAGCCCAACCCACCCTACCTGCAACTTAGTTGGACAGTCCCTTTCAGAAAAGCCACGCCACACAGAAGGATGATAAATCCAGGGTGTTGTATAGCACTGATGAAGCACTTGGACTTGGACTTGTTCACTACTGTCCTGGACTTGATCACTACTGTCCTGGCTGAGGCAGCAAAAAGAAGCTTTCTACTCTCATAGAGTTACAGTCTCAGAAACCCGGGAGAGCAATTCTACCAGTACCCTATCTGGTCACTCTGAGTCTGAATCCACTCGATGGCAGTGAGTTTTTAGTTTATCGCTCTTAGAAGTTTGGATAATAAGTCACATTGTTACTTGTAACTCAATTCTTCAAAAGAGATAGTGGATTCCTAAGGTAGTTAAGAGGGTTATTTGCTTAGAATAATCAGAAATACTTACTTTCGCTTTTTACTTAAAATATCAATATTGAAACTGATTACCTATTAGTCAAGTGCACATGAATTATATTATAAAACTATGTTAATTTATGTTGATCAAATTTGTTTGCATATTTTGTTGCTGTTTCATGTAATTCTTTATTCCCTTGATGAGAAAAGAATGATTTAGGTGAAGTGTTAACTAGGAGCAGTTAGGAAGACAGCAGTTAAATTTGAACATAATCTCCTTGGCCATCCCCAAATTAATTAATCCCAGTCTGAAGTTTGGTAAAGAACCGTTGAAAATGTCATCCTATGCTAAGCATACTGCTTGAGTACACAAATGACAATTAGTGCTTGTTGAGGAAACGTATTAATTAATTAATCTGTGCCCAGGGAATTCCCTTATTTCCATCTTTACCCATCAAAATCTTTTTCTGTCCTTGAAACTGCCACCTCATTCACACAGCCTATCCTGAATACTTTGTACGATTACGATATTTTTCTTGACATCCACTGGTAAATTATTTAACAATGATTTTAACATAGTGTGTTGGTATTATTACATGGGACCCTTGTTGGAAGTAGATTCTATTTTTTTAATACTTAAAAAATACCTTTATTCAAGTATCACTTAATGCTGTATTGAAGCGCATGACACTACACCTAAAGTGTGCAGTCTGATACGTTTTTATAGATGTATCAATCTGGGAGCCTAGCACCACAACCAAGCAATAAGCCTGCTCACCAGCTGCAGAAGATCCCTCATTGGCTTCTTACCCCCTTCTTCTTTTCTTCCCAAAGTAACTCACTGCCATCAAATCAATGATGACTCATAGTGACTCTATGGGACACAGGGTCGAGCTGCCCCTTTGAGTTTCAAAGATTGTTAACTCGTTAAGGGAGTAGAGAGCTGTCTTTCTCCAGCAGCTGGTGGGTTCAAACACCAGACCTTGCAGTCAGCAGCCCAATGCATAGCCACCACAGCATCAGGACTCCTACCCCTACTTTCATACTTCGTGTCCTATAGATGAGTTTATATTTCCTGGCATTTTGTCTAAGTGGAATCGTTTATATTAAAGCCAATTCTGCCTGACTTCTTTTACAAAGGACAATTACTTTTAGAATCATCCCTACCGTTGCATTGTTTCTTTAGTTATTTTTATTGATGGATATCCCATTGTATGTACACACCGTAGTTTATCCAGTCACTTATTGATGAGTATCTGAATTTGCTTTTTTCATGAAAAAATGTCATTGTTTTTCTTTTTCTTTAACTTTTTATTGTTAATTGGGTGAAGTTATATGGAGCAGAGCATCAGTTTTGTGATCAACAGTTCATGTACATTTTATGACATCTCATAGACGACAAACATTTGTGTGGACATCAGATATCATTTT